TATATATAATAGAATTATAAAACACTAGGTGTGCTCAGTATATTTTTCCTCTGTGAGTCCGGCCGTCGTGGTAATGCATAATTGGAGGCATTCGTGGGGATTCTGTGCGATTGCCAACAAACGTCGCCCGTGCGTCTTTTGTTGGAGACAAAATTGCCGATCAATGACAAGGTAATTACGGTGTTCCAGACAGGGAGCTCTCCCGCTGGATGACCTTCAACACGCGCGGATGAATACAATGCAGGCGAATGGCAATGATGACGTCACCACCGCGCGGCGTCGGACGCAGTAATCGGGGAGGGTTTTCCCGCACAGCACGCGCGGGGTGGGGGGGGGTCGTTTCGAGGGTCCGGCTGAGGCTCATACTCATCGCTAATGACTTCATCTGTGAGAGTCCGCGCAGCGAAGTGTGCGCTCAAGTGCCTGTGACCATTGTCGCGTGTGCCTGGTGACGCAGCATGAGTGCCTGGCTGTGCCAAAGCTCGACTGCCTGTATCAATAGCCTGCTTACCTGCCTTCAAACCCTACCCTCCCGTCTTCAGCTATCCCTGCTCGCTTGCTCGTCCGCCTCTGCCGATCTCTGTCTGCCTGCCTACTTTCCAGCCTGCCTGCCTACTTTCCAGCCTGCCTGCCCTCTCACCGGCCTCTATCCCTGCCTGCCTGTCCACTACCCAGCCTGCCTGCCTGCCTCCCTGCGTGTGTTCCATGGTCTACCGAAGTAGCCAGCGCGCAACCAGTGTCACTAATCTCTGAGTCTATAACGCAAATTCATTAGTAATTGCATCGACTCGGGGGCGCGATAGCGGCGGCACACGCCACCAGCCTGCAGGCGACGGCCTCCGTGACATGGTGGGAAAATCAGCGACCGCCTCACGTTCGCTTCTTTTCGAGAGCAATTTGTTTCGTAATGCGCATTGTGCGAAGGTAACACACCAGAAATCGCAGCCGACGCTTCGTTTACTCGGCTGTTTGATTCGGGAACGATTAACTTCCCGCCGGCTTCCCCACGTGTCAGGCGCAACACGGGCTTAATTACTGCATATATATAGTTACATCCGTGTCGTCCTTTGTCGTTGCGACATCACTGGGCTGCTTTATCGGCGGAAGCGTGTCGTAATAAAGTCGTGGATGTGTGCGTGTGTGCGTGCGTGCGTGTGTGTGTGTGTGCGTGCGTGCGTGTGTGTGTGTGTGCGTGC